TTTGAAATTCAGAGCACCACTTTATTAGCATATATTGTTGCTGTTTTGCAATAATTTCACCCAATTATAGAATTTATTGCTCTCTGGATTCAGTATAGAATTTGATATAAATTTTTCTAACATGGATAACCTCAAGTTTACTCTTCTGGGATTTTGATGAAACTTAGCATGGTGGTACAGTTTATAGACAAATTGAACACCATAAAATATTATTGGCCTATGAGATGTGGTTTAATTATAAAAATTAGCTAATCTTGCAAAAATTAGACAGTCTCGATTGCTACCTGTGTCAAAATTTTGAATCTTTTTAAGGTCCCGAAACAGTTCTGAAACTTGAGAATTAAGCTCTTTGCGCCATATGAATTTAACATCTTTTAGGTACCTGGACTCTACTTAGTGAAGTTTGAGTAATATAGTTCACCTAAAAGAGCTTACATTTTCTAGCCTAAACTGTCAGGATACAATTTAAAAATTTTCCCGAAAATTTATAAAAATGTAGGTAGGTCATGTGAATCTATCAGTATAGCGCTTTGCTCCAACTTTTTGTATACGGATTCATGGAAAAGATAGTTAAAAATGGTCGGGTTTAATTATAATTTTTTATTTTTTGAACCATGTTTGTTGAATATTGCAGAAATCTTTATAATTATCAACTCTTTTCATAAATTTGGACAAAAAAATTATATGTTTGAAGCAAGTGACTTTAAGGATATTTTGGTATCAATATAACAATATATCAGGGGCATTATAATGAAAAGTATAAGCAAAATAGGTAGGAATTGGGTTGACTTCTAAAATTGTAGGCTTTGAAGTATTATCTAACAGCTCCATAAGGCTCTAACGAAGGGGGGTTAAAATTTGTATATAATTTTACTTTGTTAATTTCGTTTCGATTTAGTAAGATTTTTATTACCAATCTAATGTCACATCTCCATTTACTAATATTTAACCTCATGTATGTTTATACAATAGAAATCATACTTTGTGTACAAATTTCTTCGTTTTTCATTCACGCCAATTCTAAAAACAGACTGTTGATTTATCGCTTGTAATATATTCAGTAATCGATACTCATAGTGCAACCAAACCGATCCCCACCTTCTCTTTCCACTTACCAGATCTTTTTCACAACAGAGATGTATTTAGAATTAATATAAAAATGTAGAGAAAAATATTTTAATAATATACAACTCAGTATCTAAACATTGTAAATAAATATCCTAAGATTTAAGGCGGAAATAGGGCACGATCATTATCGTAGCTAACGTTCTAATTAGCTAGAGTAAATAGAGTAAATATTAAATGTATAAAACAGGAAGGTGAAAAATGAGGGTTGCATGTATTTTATCCATGATTATTTTTCAAAATGCATTTTAAAAAAACAAGAAAATTGATCCAATACATTCAAAAATAATTGTTAGAGTTCAACAAACATGATGAAATTTTTTTTTCAATATAAAATAGAACGTTTTGATAAGCTTAGACAATCTCAATTGAAATTCAGTCAAAAGCATTCACTGACAGAAATCAAGATGCAAAATGATGCAGTTATTTTAATAATACTTTTGCAATAGAAATTTTATATATTTATCATATAAATTGATCCAAAAGATTAAAAAAAGTTGGGGTGAAGCCTACCACTTTCTTTCATAAAAATGAGCAAAAACCTGTCCGGGGATTTATCTGGCAGTTTCCTTAATATTTCAGGGCAATTTTGATGTGCAGTTTTTAAATGCAGAAAAAGTACACACATTTTTATAGCTATAGATGAATAAATTAATTTTTATATATATTATTTTCTCTCCCTGATTCGGTCCTGTTTCCAACCCAATAAGCTAGCGTTGGCTGCTGCGGTAATGTATTCCTGTTCCAAATTGAAACTCCTTCGTAGCATCATTCAATTTGCCAGCGTAGCGAGCTACGAGGCATATTTATTATTTTTCGATTATAAACACCGTAGACTGGCGTAGATGCGTTTGATAGGCCGCGAACTCCGCACAAAAGGCTCCTTTAAAGGATCCATATCGCCCCCAGTTTTCATCCCTATCTTGCTACTCGCATCTCGAATCGGACGAAATTTTCCCGACGAGCATTTTTGAATCTAATGATGTCTTAGGACCAAAATATACATCACTGATATTTTTAATTAAATGTCAACCGTTTTGTGTACGTTATTTGTTAATCTTGGAAATGAAATGATAACTTTAATCATGGGATTTTATTTTGTGGTTTTAATAAATAATACTCGAGAGCTATTCATAAATTTGCAAATTAACCTAACATTTATACATATACCTTTAAAAATTGAGCATTTTAAAAATTGTATAGTGAAATGAATTACGCAGTTATAAACATGATTTTTACAAAGTTAATTTATTCAATACAGCTATCTCTCACAATAATTTATCCCAAGGTTTTTAGTTTTAGAAATGTATTAAAACTTCCGTTTCTTCTCATAGATTGTTCCATGAGTTGCTGTATTTTATTTAAAAAGTACAATAAAAAAGTGCTCTGAAAGTTATTGATTAACTTCAAATAGATAGAGATTTTTTATGTGAGTTCATTATAAAAGTTTTCCCGGTGCAATTTTATTCAGCACTTTATTAGCTTTGGCGTCTGAAGCATAAAAAATACAAGGATTTATTTGCGAGATAAATCTAGAGTTTTATGGTATAATAGGTTTGCAGTATGTTAATTAAGACAGAATTTTATATGAGAAATGGAAACATACTTTTTTATTTCTCTGAATGTGTTTCATAGTTGAAAAATGTTCCAAGTCAGCTTCCTATTATTGTACTTTAGCTTGCAAATTTTTGAAGCTAATTTCATAATTTTCTTAAGTCCATGTCGCATCTTCATATTGAAAAATCTGTATCTGATTATACATTATATTTATACCAAAAGCAGAACAAGGTTCATTAAAAAATTCAGTAAAATCAATATCGAACCATTTTCTTACTTATTAGAAATTATTCTGAAGATTATCCTCTTCACAAAATTCTCGGAGTATATCCTGATCAGAAACACAATTGAAGGAATATCAGAACAATTTATAGGTGCACTTGCAACTATGCATAACTTTGAAATTTAATTAATTATCGATTGCATTTAATTAATTACAAGTAAATGCGTTGCACTTTCTGAACTAATAAGATCCCTGAAACGTGCTTGTTTACGAAATGTAAAAAAACATCAAACAACAACAACTGATCCAATAATGTCTTCAGAAAACATTCAGAAAATGTAAGTGGAACTAAGATAGAAAATAAATATTTGAAAATCAGAAATTTTCATGAGTAAGATAAACTTTTATTTGGAGTAATTATATACTAATGACTGACGTTATTAGATTTTTGCATACACACAATTTCATTACTTGTGTACAATGAATTCCAATATACTATTTATAGGAACATTTCATAAGTGTTTCTACAACCTTCATAAATATTAATGTGAGTAGTTCCTATTATTTTTAGATTTCTTAATTTAGTTAGAGTTTTACCAACATTACCTGTATTATTTATTGATTGCATTACAGCCCAAAATAACAGTAATAACTTACTTTTCTGAGTAAGGAATGTGAGGTACATTAGGTATATTAACTTCTGTAATTAAAAAGGTAATTTTATACATAACAAAAGTACTAAGCTTTAAGCAAAACATGCAATATTTATATTGTGAATTTAAACTATTAATGGGGTATAACTAAAATATGGAGAAAGTACAATTTCATTATATTGCTTTACGAGATTTCATTCTGGGATGTCCAATCACTGGATCACTGAAGTACTACCAAAAATTTGCTGATGTTTCATAATAGAATGGGTGCAGATATGAAAAAGAAAAAAAATGTTGGCCAATTTGAGTTCCAAAGATCACGGCATAAACTATGTTTGTGGTTCTAAGTTTGCTCCTGATTTTCTTTCCTAAAAAAAGGTGCATCGTAGAGGGCACGGTATTATCCCGGAACGTTCCCAGAATATAGATCAGGAGCAGTTCTCCAATGCTGACCGATCTTTGCACAATTAGCTGCCTCTGCGCAGACAATTCTAATAACAGACCTGGGTACGTAATACCTATCCTTATTTCATTCCCAGAAGCAAAAAATAAGAAAATAGAATAAATCCAATCCTCAGACTCAGATGATACGACGTGGTTTTATGTGAAATATATATAAAGTGCAATGGAAGCGGTTTCTGTATAATTTACTGCAACTTTACCATTATATGAACCATAAATGGCCCAAATCTCATGAGCGTAATAATCTAATATTAGAGGAAATTTTATTAGTTGGGGGATAAAAGATAATAATTTTGTGGAAGTTGTTAATGAACTAACCAATATTTTTTATAAATATTAAAATACAAACTGAATTTTATTATATCATTTTATGCAATTCATTAATTCCATATAAAGTACAAAAAAAAACAATCCAAGATCTAAGTTAAGGAATGCATCACTTTACATTCATCGTAAGGCAAAAAGGTTAATGTGGATTTTTGGATCCTAGTAGACTTAAATCAGCGATTTTGATCTTTTTAATAATTTAATATTTGTATATTTAATATATCTATATCTAAATTTTTGTCTAAGTGAATTCACAATATCATTGATTTATAGTTATCACAACCATAAAAACCTCAAATGTCGTTCCATTTTGTACCGTGTGATGTTTAATAAATATTCTATCGTTGACATCAAATTGATCACTGTTTTGAAAATTTATTAGCTCATTCCACTCAAATGACCAGCAAAATCATTGATTTGTTTCGACTGTGTCAGCAGTTCAGAGCTTTATGTCTTTTCATTATTCGCTAGATTTCATTTCCTTGATATTTATTTACCGCAACATCAGAGTACTTGCGATGTTGGGATCTTGGACAAATATTTGATCTGTATTTTCCATACGGTTTCTTTATTTCACAATTATTGATTTTAAAAATAAATTCTAATTTGGAGTTTCTATTACAAATTTGTTCAATATTCCTCCTGTACTGGTAAATAGATCAATTTGTGTTCTGGATGCATTTGATATCATATATAATATTATACATTGCAATAACAGTTGAAACTTCTTTACGACCATCATCCGTAATAGTATCGCACACATATGACAGGATCGCATTTCTCTGTCACATTTTATTGTATTGGAATATTCTCGGGGGTATCAATTTTACGAATGCCAGCGTTAAAACTTGTTATTGCACCATTTCGAAGGACGGAATATCGTTTTTAATATCCATCCTGGGATGAAGCCGGAGAGGAGTTAAATCGAAGTAATTGCTCTATTGGGTACCTGTAATTCGTAATATTTTATTAGGATTTTATATATATGTTATATGTAACTACTATTTGTCAAAACATATTGTTGTCTAAATTAACATGTTTTGAAGCATCTTGTCAAAGTGCTTTCTATTTATTTTTATCTATCGTTACCAAGTTTTCAAAATTTACGATTTATCCATATGAAAACGAGCGTCCGTCCGCAAACGCAATAACTGTCCCGACCCGGACGCCTCTCGCGGGTCTGTCCGAAGCCGCGCCGTGAAATATCTGCCGTGTTTCTCTCCGAATCGCAACCGCTGCGCCTTTTCGGATGGTTTAAAGGTTCGGCGCGGAGATTAATTTGAATTGTGGAATTTAATTATTTCATTGCGGAGATATCCGACGGAGACTTTTGTTCTGGGAGATTTTCATCACTCCTGTGCACCTACAACACGCTTTCCGTGTTTCAAAACTGTCAAGCGGACGTCAAGAGTGAGACCATAAATTCGAACTCGGGCTGGGTTATTGTACGTTCTAGCGATAATACTATAAAATTCGCCTTTTGTGATCGACGAACGACGAACCCACCCTGATGGGAGGAAAAGAGCAAAAATACTATTCAAAATTGCGGTCGTATAGTGTGACAAAAATTTATGACTTTTCACTAACGTACTTTTATTGCGGTTTTTTATAAAATATACATTTCTATTTTTATGCCCCATAAATTTTTCAAAATTTCAATCTTGCAATCTATAATATCGTTTTTAAGTATTATATTTTTTCCTACAATGTTTTTTTTCCTGGTCTAGTATTTATTACAATAGCTGATCATACATATGCATTGTTATTTACACATATTTTTCTACCCTTGGGTACTTTAAATTACATTATTGATCTAATTTTTCCATTGTTTTTTTTCATCTTACGTTCTTTCCTACAATTAATACTAATATTAAGTATTGTTAATAAATTAGTTGCTTTTGTTGTTTTGCTGAATGATGATATACATCTGGTCTCCAAACATATAAACAATAATAAATTTTTTTCATTCGACGCGTTCGTTATCTTATTTATTTAATTCAATATGTATCAACGTTGGACAAAAAAACCTGGATATATATATATATATATATATATATATATATATATATATATATAACAAATGTATTAGTGGATAGATATTAATTGGAAATATGAACAAACAACACTCTGCTTGCACTAATGTTTAAATAATAATGTTTCACAAAACGTTTCGAGACTAGGTTTGTCTCCATCAGTGGTAATAAAAAATTTTTTAATATGGAAATCTAAATAGCATTTGTGTTTTTCATTACGTCAGTGAACGACTTGTAATGAAAAAGACAAAATGCTAATTTAGATTTCCATATTTTAAATTTTTTTAATTATAACACAGATGAGAGACAATAGTCTCAACGTTTGTGAAAATTATTTATTTAAAAAAATTAGTGCAAGAAGAGTGTGTTTGTTCCATATTTCAAAATTAATATATATATAAATATATATATATATATATATATATATATTAAGGGGTCCTTGAAATGGTCATTTTTGGATTGCCTTGCTCCCAGGGGCTCAAATGGTTCCAAATTGATACAAAACAATTCTCTGAAAGTTTTAGCTCTAATATTAACGTTAGATAGAGCGCAATTCAATCAAAGTTTCATATAAAATAGCATGGAAAATTTTCAAAAATTTTAAAATGTTTTTTTAGATGTAATTTAGCGAACAAATGAATAAATAAAACTCATTCATTTGTCGCTAAGTTATACCTAAAACATTTTTTTTTAATTTTCAAATTTTTTCTATGCTCTTTCCATACAAAGTTTGATTGAATTGCGCTCTATGTAAACTTTAATATTAATAGATAAACTTTCAGAGAATTGTTTTTTATCAATTTGGGACCATTTGAGCCCCTGGGAGCAAGGAAATTCAAAAATTACCATTTTGAAGACCACCCTAATATATATATATATATATTATATATATATATATATATACACTCTTTTTGCACCCTAGATATATATTTGGCACACTCTCTTAATAATATATTATATATATATATATATATATATACATAGGGTGTCCCAGAACTCAGCGTCAATACTATCACCCCGCTTTGACTTGACGAGAGTTCTAGTGCACTCTGTATATTTTCAGGGACAACTTCCACGTCTTTACATTTGCTTATATGGTATGTTGTTTTATTTGGTCAATTCTTTATTTGATATGTTTTGTCTTGCCGTTATCAAGAAATTGCTAGGATCAAGTTTCATTCAAATTATGCATCATGGAAATTATTATATCAAATTACGTTCTTGAATCAGAATTGTTTCTAAAAGAAGATACGTAGAATAGTAACCAGCATTTAGAGTTTGATTAAAAATAAAGGTTTATTTCTGATTTGCTTGATATTCTTCTCCATATTAGGGTGCTTTATTGCCAGAACGCAAACGCAAAAAATTGTTGAAAAAAATATTTTTTGACGGTTCTGATAAAACTTTGTGCGTGGTAGATTTCATGGTTAAAATTAATATACTAAAATATTATAGGTCTACCAAATATAGTTTAATTAAACAAAATCTTGATTTGCAATAATCCGCCGCGTCAAAATTTCAATTCGATTTATTTAAAATTTCAATATATTGTCAAGGTTTTAAAAGGTTTTATTAATATTATTATTAAAATTAAATATCAAGTTGTAAGTGCAAATTATCAGTTTGTTTTCGGAAACTTTTTACATGATGACTAAAATTCCAACTAGTACAATTGTTTTGGTTATTAAAGTCAAAACTATTTTATCAATGAATATCAAAGATGAAAATTTTATAAAATTCTTACCTTTAGTTGAAGCATCAAAACAATTCTTTAGTCACACAAACTTCAGTTTATTTATAATTATGACAAACTGATTAAATAACACTATAACTTAATAATTAACGACAAGATAAATATAGGCGTCCATAAGCACATTATAATTATTAAAAAAATTAATTTAACACTGAAAAAAATAAATTTAACACTTGTTTCGAATCCGACATTTTGATTCTAAATGCGTCGTCAATTATGTTTAAACATTTCACGATAGTATTTGCAGATGTACCAACTTTCTAAAGCGTCAATTGTGTTTAAACATCTTCACGGTAGTATTTGCAGATGTACCAACTTTCAGCTCATGTTTGCAAGCACACGTAAATAACATATATTGTTTTAAATTCATAATTAAAGTAAAATTATATAAATAATTAACTATTAAACATATTTATAATCGATTTATATATAAAAGATTAGAAATAATAAAAATATTAACGTTGTCAAAAATATCTTTATCTACGTACGTGTGAAGTTGGTGTCAACGTTCGCTATTTTAGTATTAGTACCAACCTTCAGCTTGTGTTTGCAAGCACACGTAAATCTCTTATATTGCTTTATATTTATGATTAAAGAAAAATCATTTAAATAATTAAGTATTAAACATAAACTAATTATAATCAATTTATATACAAAAGATTCAAAATAATAAAATTATTAACGTTGTCAAAAATCTCTTTATCTACGTACGTGTGAAGTTGGTGTTAACGTTCGCCATTTTAATTTTGATTTGACGTTTCGTGTACAATATCATTTTAAGTGTGGTTTTTATGTGGAGATGTCTCGTGTTATTTTACGCTTAATTAATTAGTAAAAACATATTAATAAAAAGAGTTCTTAGTTCTGTGTTATCAAAAATAAAACGATGGACAATAGGGAAGTCATATATTTGATACAAGGTAAGAGAATTGTTAATTAATGCAAAAACGATTTACTGATATGATTATTATTATAGAATGCTAAATAAATTAAAAATACTGGGCGTTTAGGTAGAGCATTTATGTCTATTTCTTTCATGTGTCAGAAAATATTTTCGGGAAGAATCTGTTTCTTTTTGTTCAGGTATAAGGTTACATATGACATGTCAGAAAGGGTTATAAGCCGCAAGACATTTATTTATTCATGCGTGAGTTTTTTGTGGATTTATTCTTGTGTACATGATGCCATAAATTTGATAAGTATCCGGGACGCCCTTTGTCGAAATAGTCAGAACTCGGTAAAACGAAAAGATATATCTTTACTATGATGGATATACAAAGAACAGCTCTCAGATATGCTTCGATAAGGATTGCAGAATATTTGTATTTTGGCATACTTTAAATTGACACTCTAGTTGTAGCATTTACATAAAAATCTATCTTAATTAATTACTCGATCTATAACTTCTTTTTCCATCCCTCAGTTTGATATATCACCCAGAAAATTTTTCCATTCTTCTTTCTACAAAAAATCATTTGGATGAAATTATTATATCCGAGTTCTTAATTACACTAAAAAGTTTTTGCAATATAAATCATCCATTTCTTAAAACGCGACACAATTTCTATATCTTGAAACTAAAAAGAATAGATTATTGCAATTACCATAAAGTAGTGGAATTTTTAATTACTCTTGCATTAGAATTGCAACACAAATTAAAGTATTTTTCCTGCTCTTAAATAAACTTTTATAAAAACTTATACCATTATGCTAAAATCCGCACTTTTGCATATTTCTTCTGTACAGAGAAGTATTTGAAGTTTTGTAGGAAAAAATTATAAAGCTATTAGTGACTGCTAAAGCGTATTGAATTGGGATAAACTAGATGAAAAAATATTTATATATTTCTGAAATGGGTTATTCTGGTTATATATTTTTTCGATTGTGTTAAATATAGATAGGTTAACACATGGTTAAACGTTGAGTTGTTGTTTAAAAAGAGCAACAAAATTTTCGATTAAGACAGTGCATGGTACCTACCACGTAAAATCACCTATTTTGTATACCTTACAATGAAAAATCTCATGTTATTCTGACATTTAATAAAAATATAAGCACACGATATTTTTTCGCTTAATATTTATTAATTCTGAATTCGTTATCGAATAACAAAACATTTACCGCGCTTCATGAATATATTTGAACTGCACGGCTCGCCTTCGACATACTCGAACATCTCATTTAAATGATAACCTATGATAATAATAACAACATTGCAATGAATAATGGATGGATATACTATATACCTACTGGAAAAACTGAAAAAAGACGGAATTGATAAAGGAACATCATCTTCTTGAAATAATTTCATATCAAGCGGCTGTGCGAAACATGCGATGGATCCGTTGAGAAATTTCCATTATATTTTCGTATTTTCCATCAAGATGATTGAGTTTTCGATAGTTGCCGTAGATAGAATATTAATAGGAAGATAGATATGTATAAAGGGCCTTTGTTTGAAATCTTATGGTGTAGCTGGGAGCGCAGTTTTATATTAGAATGGATATTCGAAACATCTATATTAGAAAGCTATTCAAAGACATCTCAGAATATTTACCTCAGAACCTCCCTGACACTATATTTATATACAAATAATAATGCATACTTTTTGAAACACATATATGAAATTTATTAAATTTGTACAGTCGTAATAAATATCTTTTTTTTATTAAACTATGTAATTTGATAGTTTAGTTATTTTATTAATTAGTAGCTAAATTAAATTAATATTTTTTGGGTCGTCTATTGAATGCAGAAGTGCCTCTCAAGTACCCAGCCTTAAAATATTATTCTGTAAAAATTTATAGCTAATTTCTTGAAAATGGCAAACATTCAGTCATTTAGATAATTAAGTTGTCTTTTTTAATGTTGCATAATTGATATGTAGAGCATTGAATAGTATGAGATAAAAATCGATAATGAAAATTTTTGTATATCCTAAAGGTTTCTGAATTCTTGGCATTATATATAAAAATGGATGTTTGTGTGTGTATGTACGTAGTATGTATGTAAGTATGTTTGAATACAATTTTTCGTTCATTTTCAATTAAAAAAATATTTGATGCCTCTTGACGTGAAGGCGTGCTTTTTAGTTTTTAACAAATGCAGGTCCTGCCGTTTTGAAGAAACGGGGCAAAAAGTATCAAAAATGGAATTTCTGTCTTTGAGGAAACGGAACGTCCGATTTGAATCATTCAAAAAACACTTAACTGCTATTGACGGACTGAAGAACTGAGATAAAATTTTTTGAAAGACAGGTTAAAGGTGAATATTTTCAAAAAAATTCAAAATGGTCAAAAAACAATATTTTTTTCAAATTTTTCAACAAATATTAAGATATATCTTAGTTTCACGCCTTAGAAAAAATGGGTGTCTGTGTGTATATGTGGATGTGTATATAGTATGTGTGTGCGTATATGCACATTGATTAAATTTTTAGCAAGGCAGGTTTAGAAACCGCTGAAAAAGCCAAAAAAAACTGTCATTTTGTCATTTCAAAATTTTCAAAAAAAACTTGAATTGGCGTCCAGCAAGTTTCAACAAATTGCCTTAAGGTACGATGCCATGCGCCACTAGTTTAAATGTATTGATTGCGTCGTGGTTTTGAAAAAAAATGCACGTGAAAAAAAATATCGAAAAGTGAATTTATCAGATGATGTGTGTAAAATAGCGAATTATTCGTTATTTATCGATTTCCGTAGGTGCAGGTTCCGCAATCGCCATCGCCATCGCAATCGTCTGTTGGCTGTTGGCTGTTACATACCCTCGTCACGTTGCGCTTATGCCGACGCGTGAGCACGCTCTTTGAAAGTCGCCAGGATTTGAATTTTAATTCCATTAATCAGCGTGACAACTCCCGACTAGCCGTTTTCCCATTTCCTCACCCTTTGCCACTCTTTACACTCTTTTTCCGCTTTCCGTCACTCTTTCCGTTATAATGCATTCGATTCTCCGATTTCAAAAGCAACGATATCGATAGATAAATGCACTGTGTTTAATTATACTATTTGATTATTACATAATTAAATTTTTGGTTTCAATAATTTCAATGAAAATTCGATCCGAGTAGTTTACGATTGCCCTGTATCATTTCGGATAATTTAATTACAGATCATGATTTCATCAATTACTGGTCTGCGGA